GTTATAAGGTGGACTTCAATGATGGATTCTTGCACTTCACTTGGTGGAATTAATATTAGAATGTTAAGGTTTGTAATCCAAGTGAGAATATATACATTGTAAGACCTAACTAGGAACGACTGCGAAAAATGCAGTCGTTCCTGGTTAGATCTTAAAATGTATATATTCTCACTTGGATTACAAACCTTAACATTCTAATATTAATTCCACCAAGTGAAGTGCAAGAATCCATCATTGAAGTCCACCTTATAACAGCCCGTACACCCGATTACCTATATATATATACAATAACTTACGGTTGCAGCTCAACAGCTGGCCTCTGTAGCTCAGTTGGTTAGAGCGCTGCACCGGAATCGCAGGGCGGTAGGTTCAATTCCTACCACAGGACCTTGTGCTGCATTTTTCGCAGTCGTTCCTGCTTATGTCTTAAAATGTATATATTCTCACTTGGATTACAAACCCTAACATTCTAATATTAATTCCACCAAGTGAAGTGCAAGAATCCATCATTGAAGTCGACCTTATAACAACCCGCACACCCGATTACCTATATATGCATGAACTTACGGTTACAGCTCAATAGCTGGCCTCTGTAGCTCAGTTGGTTAGAGCGCTGCATCGGAATCGCAGGGCCGTAGGTGCAATTCCTACCAGAGGACATTGTGCTGCATTTTTCGCAGTCGCTCCTGGTTAGGTCTTAAAATGTATATATTCTCACTTGGATTACAAACCCTAACATTCCAAAACTAATCAAATGAAAGAGCATATAATTTTATACAATATATGAAAGTTTAAGGAAATCTTATACAATAGCGGGCTTGCAGTGTATATATTTAAGAAACAATTCTTGACAGTTTTTTAGTATAGGCTATATATTTGACACCGGGGGAAATTGTTTGGAAAATGTCTTTTTGGACTGCTATGAGGCGCGTTTGTTGGTTTGTGTGGAATAAAACTTAAAGGTATTGATTCGTTAATAAGAACTCTATAATTTCTTTTCTTTTAATTAATTTTTGAAGAGAAGAAATGGCTATATTTTTCATTTTTACTTCTGAGTGATTGAAATGAGTGAGTTCACATCATATCGATTGTCATGATGAATGTCATGTTGAATCTCAAGCGTACTCATCAACCTCGTTCCCAGGCTCTTTGCTCTTGTGAAGGTTGATGCGCACTTCACATTGGTGAATACAAATTTAGCGAGTGCGAATGAATACACATTTAGCGACTGCGAATGCAAATTTAGCGACTGCGAATGCAAATTTAGCGAGTACGAATGTAAAATTTAGCGAGTGCGAATGTAAAATTTAGCGAGTGCGAATGTAAAATTTAGCGAGTGCGAATGTAAAATTTAGCGAGTGCGAATGTAAAATTTAGCGAGTGCGAATGCAAATTAATTTAGCGACTGCGAATACAAATTTAGCGAGTGCAAATGAAAATTTAGCTAGTGCGAATGAAAATTTAGCGAGTGCGAATGCAAATTTAGCGAGTGCGAATGCAAATTTAGCGAGTGCGAATGGAATTTAGCGAGTGCGAATGGAATTTAGCGAGTGCGAATAGAATTTAGCGAGTACGAATAGAACCAGACACAGTACTAAAATGCGGTGCCCTGCAAACAAAATTTCTGGCGTTTCGCCTACAAGTAAACTTATATAAAATTATACGCTAGATGGGGCCCCTAGATTTCTCCTGTTGGCTAATATATGAAGTTTCTAGTGAGGGAAAAGTGAGCGCGCGAGGTCTGCGAGGACCCACCATCGAATTTTTATCGAATTTCTAAAGCTTTTTCATGTGACATGTCTAATGTTACGCTTACATTTGTTTTGGACTTTGGCCACTGTCAGTTCTATATTTTTTTATAAAGTTTTGGTTTCTTAGTGTGATAAATCTGTGTATATAGTCTATATAATGTGGTAAATGCACCTAGCAGATATGACTTGATATGAAATCGCACATCACACCTCTGATTGCCCTTTAACCCCTGGTCTTTGCTACTTCAATCTTTGCTACTTCAATATATATTGCTTCTTGTCCTTCTTTTCAGTTCCATTCACAGCTCACTAGTCGCTGCGAGCATAGGCTGCGAGTAATCACTGTGCTTGATATAATTTGTACTCTTTACTGTTGTTCTATTCGCTTTTGATGCCCGCAGCAATCCCTACCTTGCAGGTACCCTAGTTTAATATTTAGCACGCTACATTCTCCTGTCGGCCGCCAGTTGGTCCGTACGTTAGAGTCGAAACTGCGTTTTAAAGCCTTCAAAATAAAATATTTTGGGCTCAAAATACTATCAAAATGAAGAGAAAAGTGAGACGAATCCACTGGCATACGACCGAAAACGAGAAAACCCAACAATTCCGAAGTTATCAAGGATCAAACGGACTGCATTTTTAATTAGTTTAGTAATTTTGAGCGATTTGTAAACAATACAATTTCGCTTATTAAAAC